GTCGTGGTTGATTTAAGCAGCACCCATCGAAATTGGTCCAGAAATATGGCCACGCGCTTGGCCTTGGACCTTGCTTGGACCCATTTCCTCTACACATACCGAGATCACCTCCCGAATATCCCGCCGCAGCCCGAGGACACTTTCTGTCTCGAATTGCTTATGTTTGCGGGGACTTTTGCCGAACATACGGAAACCTTCTCGCTCATACTTGCTATGCCAGAGGTTCGATTCATGGTTGCCAAGGCATGGCCCCACGTCCCGGGAATTCCAGACGCCAAGAAGCGCGAGGTTACATTTACCGACCTCCGCAGATTCATTGCGCACGAAACGGTAGCCGAACAGAGCAATCTTGCAGAGTTGATCGACGGCGCAGGCGGAACCTTGGACGACTTCGCGTGCCTCATTGTCCTGTACATGCGGGCAATGCTTCCTACACCGACGACCACAATCCACTTCATGTATGTCCATTTTACGTGCGCTATCCTCGACTTCGTCATACGCATCGAACCCACCCTCGGCGACGAGAAGGAAGGGGTGGACCGGTTGGGCACAATCGCAAACGCCCTTGTTGCGCGGAATATTTTCAAAGCACTGATAAATCTTGTGTGTGCCTTGGGAAAGTCTACGTCGATTCAGACCACATTGGCGCTCAAACAGACCTTTGTTGTTCTGGGGTCGGTATCAATGGCAAGACCGACCGAAGTACAGTTGTTTTGTGATGCTTTGGACCACAAACTTCTCCGTGCGCTGGTCATTTGTGGCCGTGGTCCCAATGGCTCCAAGATGGATGGCTTCATCAACCTGTTTCTCGAGGTTCTGATGCCCCCACAACTCGTATATCCCAAAGTCCTGTCCGCTTTGGACAGCGCATTGGACGATGTCAATGAACTAGTCGCTCCGGATGATTTCAAGGACGCCAAAATGTACGACCATTGGGTCCCATTTTCAAACTTGGCGGAAGACCGCATTGCGATCCTCAAATCGTGTGAGGCGGGCGAAACTCCGTCAAGGAGGGCCTGTGATAACCTTGACGTGATGTCCACTACGTTTGAGCTGTCTCTCTCCGTGCTTATTCACCCAAAGTGTGGTGAAATACGACCCAGGCACGAATTCACCAGGTGTAGCGCTTGTAAAAGTGTTTACTATTGCGACGAAGCTTGCCAAACTAGTGACTGGGTCGGTGGTGGGCATCAAAGTGCCCGTAAATCCTACGTGGCTCTGTCCTTGCGTGAGTACCAGGTCCCTTTTGCATCGCTCGACTAAATTGCACCCATATCCATCAGGCGCTGGCAATGCACTGGATTTCGCGATGCGCTCGTTTCTACGTGCGCTCATCCACCACGACTATCACAAAGCGAAGCGTACCATCCTTCTCCAAAAATTCGTCTTCCGCCGCGCCATCCCGAATGGCGGCTTTCTCACTCTCTACTATTACACCCAGGGGGCAGTCAAAATCAATCTGCAGTCACTCAATAACGCAAAAACCCATGAGGTCTTGGGTTCCACGGAGTGGACGAACATCGTTTCGCGTGCGGAGCGCAGCGGGGGCCGGATGGGTATCGATGTCCTCGTCTTTAGCGGACGCGAGGAATACCATTATTACGCTATTTCGCTGCGCAGCAACAAGTCGACTGTTAATGACGGCCTGCGAGCACTCGGGGATGAGTTACCCCCAGATATTGAGAATTGGGATGAAAGCTTTTTCGAGGATCGATTTCAATGCTTCCTAGATTCGAACAACGAGGATAAAGAATTGGTGGAGATACATTAGATCCCTTGGGAAGGTAGCGCGAATCATTTGGATTATGGATGATCTAATGGGACAGCTATAGGAAATTGGCCGGAGTTTTTTTTCTTGCTCTTGATGGTATTTTTTGTAAATTCCCCCACAAGTGGTAAAATCCGGCGGTAAAAAAATGTCGACCTTATCTAGTTGTGACTTAAATGGAAATTCCTCTGACAGATGTGTTTTCACAGTGAAATTGAGTATCTTTGTCAGCGGGATAAGACTTTTGACGAAATCTGGGACTGGGAAAGCCCGGAACATTTCAACCACGAAGTAGCGGCAGTTAGGTGATGCGCTCCATAGTCTAAAGATCGCTGCACGCGATGCTGGGGCGGGCATGTTTCAAGTCAGCGGCTCGCGATGACTGCGAAGAGGAGCCTTGCAGTCGCCGGTTGAATTGAGCGGAGCGCGACTGGGAACATCACCGGAATCGTTTGCCTATGGGTCGGGTTAGTGCGCGCAGCTGGAATGGAGATAGAATAGGGATACTCGACCAACCTAAATCTACAGAGTAGGCACCAAAAGCTGGTAGAATCAGCCCACAAGCCCGAAGAAAAAATTGGATGACATACCGCAGTGTCTCCGAAATGGAGACCCGTAGCCACCGTTGGCTTGAGCGCGTCGCAGGCGCACTTCGCGGCGCCTAACTCGGCACGACGCGAGAAAGGGACGAAGAAGGCGGTGAGAAAGTAGAATGGGAAAGGGGCAGAGAACTACACCCAAGGTGACCAACACGGGTAGACACAAGAACGAGTCGTACCCATCCTCGTCACTTAGTTACTTCGCTTAGGAATGAGAAAACTCGTGAGTTTGATGTAAATGCGTGAAAGTTTGTCATTTCAACTGATTTCTAGGAAAGCTCGTCACTTCGATTAAATTTTGGCGAAAGCTCGTCACTTTCGGGCACGCGCGGCCGATGCGATGAATTCTTATTGACTGACGTGCAGATGATCACGGTGCTATCAAGGTTTCTCGACATAAACATTCCACCGCTCAAGGTGTGTTTCGTTAATGTGTGAAAGATTTAATTTGAATTCATAACTTAGTTCCCCTGAATGCATCGTCGCCTGCCGGTAACGGGACTGTCGGGAACGAACTGATACCAGGTGAGACTACCAGCCTGGAATATTTCCCGAAGACGTACCACAAGCTGAAACTTCTTTGACAGCTTCGACGTTAACCACGTCCGAACCGCCGACTAGGCCTGTTCGCAAACGTTCTGGGTCCATGTGTTTGGAGTCAGATGTGCCTCCTAAGCGTCTGAAGCTAGGGCCTCTGAAGGGGTGGGGGGTCGAGAGAGATGGTGGAAGCATGAGCACGGTGGAATACGCTCAGAAGCACTGGAGCGAGTATCGAGAAGAATACTCTGAAATGCTAGATTCTATTCTACCAGAACATTCAAGTCGAGTAGATAATTTCTTACCTTACTATTATCCTCTAACACACATCGTTGAATAAAAATGGACTTAGTAGATTTCGAAACCAAAATCAACCAGCTTAGGCTCGTGGAGGTGGGCGTTAAAGTGTCGAAGGGGATGTTATTTCTTGCTTCATTCCTCACGTCCCTTCTTACTTGCATCACGTCTGCTCCGTCAAACTCCAAGTTGGGAGAAGAAAATGTTCTCCTCCTGGCTACTATTGCGCGCGCAAAATTACTGTACGGAGATGTTGAGGGCACGAAAACCGATATGGACAAGGCGTGGGCCGTGCTCGATCGGCTCGAAGGCGCTGAAAACGGTGTCAACGTAGCACCCGATATTGGACGCTCTCGACAGCACCCCACATGAATGGATAAAGAAACTTCTCTTCACCTTCACCGAGGGAAACATCGGCAAGTTCGAGGCCCTCGCACCGCTCTCAAATATTCATGATTGATCCCATTTTCTGTTACGGTCGACCAAGAGCGTGAACAAGTCAGCTGTCCGAAGTCTGATATCGCACGGTGCAGGATTTTATGTACTTCTAAATTTATTTGGGTGACCTAAGAGACACCTTGTGGTGATGGATCAGATAGAAATTAATGCAAAGTATTCGAAGTCAGCCCAATTTGGTGGAATTACGGTCAAACAAGAGTGGGAACAAGTTAGCTGCTCGGCCAAAGTCTGATATGGCGGTGTGTGGGATTCTATGTACCTGTAAATTGATTCAGGTAGGCTTCATGATACATAGAGAGGATATAGCAGATAGAACCAAGCCTAGAAGTATTTTTAGTATTGCCAGTCAAATCTGCAGTTACGGTCGAACACAAGTTAGCGTCTAATTCGGGCCAAAGTTTGACATGGCGGGTGCAGCAGTTTACTACATAAGGCTGATATAACACGGAATAAACGCCATGTAAGTGTATTCACTTGCCTAGGATGGTCTGTAAGCTTTAAGCAAATACAATTCCGTTCCACAGAATATCAAACACTGAAAACAGAATATCAAATGCAGAATAAATATTAGAGCAAAATATATATCATCTAGTCTCCTGTAGCCTCTGTCCAAAATTCATTGCTAGACCCAGATTCCTCCTTTCCACTCCAATTTGCTCGCTCTTGCGCTAAGCCCGAATACGAGCATCACCGAGATCACCGAATTGATTCCCATGCTTACTTCCACCACGTCTCACTTGTCCCATATCCCCGATTCAGGATATCTTTTGTGGCTATTACAATCCCATGGTCTGTGGGAGGCAAACGGAAGGAGGGCACGTGAAAGCCAAGTGAAAGCTCTGATCGCCAGAGGACCCCTTGCCGCAGTCGTGCCGTCGTCAAGGCAAGCAAATGGCGCATGGAACGGGTGCGGCAGCATCGGCAACTGAATCGCGGTCATGTGGTTATCGTCAAGTGACGATTTTTCACGGTGTGCAGAGGAAGTGACGAAGTTGCAGTAAATTTAGCTGAACTCACGAACTTTCAGGGAATACCATCAACCTCACGAACTTCCACGACGCTAAGCGAAGTAACTAAGTGACGAGAATGGCGCGGACTCTTCCCGGAGTGGACGACGTGCCGAAAATTTGTTTTTCATGTGCATATTTTTTAGTGCATTGAATCAACGCATACTTGCGGTAGAACGGATGCGATGAATCAATGCTGGCCGGGTGATAGCAGGGCTAGAGTTACGAAGAAAGCCGGGAAAAAAAACGGCTCGAAGAATATATCGTGCTCTCGGCGGCATTGATCCATGAGCACGCGATGGGGCAGGCAAAAAATCATCGGAACATGGGTCATGCTCTCGGTGGGATTCAAACCCACGCCACCGCGGAAAATATCGCTGACTCGAAATTGGAGCGAGGAGATCTACGGCTGATCCACGAGAGCCATGCTCTGCTTCGCAGAGGGAGTGAGTCACTGAGGGAGGGATTCTGAGTCTGAACCTCTCGAAGTCAGTAAGGCCTGATAATTCCTGTATACGTACTGCAGAGTACCCTATTTATCTTGGGCTCAGTTCTGTGGGCAAGCTGGTGGCTGTACGCTCTGGACTCAAAAGTGTACAGCCACTCAGCTTTCTCCAGAGCGTACAGCCACCAGCTTGCCCACAGAACTGAGCCCAAGATAAATATAGGTTTGATTCCTCGTGTCCGAATAGGATTCTCGTGAACTCCTTGCCAAATAATGTGCTCAGATATTGCCAAAATAATCATACAGAGATATGGCACATATACTGTCCGAAAAATAAAAAAAACTGCTTTGTTCAGTCAATTTTCGAAAATTTGTAGTCATGAACTAGTTTGAAATCAGAAAAAACATCTAGTGAAAGACCTAGTGCTGAAAAAATCGCGAGGCTGCGAATGTGTTCGCAAAAAAATGCTATGCTGATTTTCATACCAAGAAAACAGCTTGGTATTGAGGTTTCAACCTGAAAAAAACACGTTCAGCCCTGAGAGAGAAAAAAAACTAGTTGAGGTAAACAATTAAAAAAGCAACTAGTTGCGGTGAACAGTAAAAAAATGTCTAGTTAATGAGATTCCCAAGCTCTGCGTTGACAGCGGCTGCACAGCTTCCCGATTGCATCATACCCTAATCAAGCAGGCCCCTGTTTCTCTCTACCTCTACCTTCAGTTCTCATGATGAACATCAGGGGGCACAATGAGATACGGCATTTCTTCAAAGAGTGTCATCTGATCTCCTGTGGCCCGGTTTCTAGTAGACTCTCTCCCTCAGACTGAAACGGCAGCAGTTGAGCATGTTAATACTCGCCAACTGAATGCCGTCCGGGTCGTCCTGGTCGTCAAAAATGGCCCTCACTCGACGGCTCAAGATCTCGAGCATCTAGTCCACTGTGTCGACAGCCTCATCACCCCTCTCAAGCTTTTCTGTCAGCAACCTCCGCCTCTAGCAAGTGCGCACATATGTACACTCCCCGTTATCACACCCATGAACGGGATCGCCCTGCGTACTGTGTGGATCTGGACCGCGCCATCGGAGCGACATTCGCCGCTGAGGCACATGCCGCGGTTTGCGAAGCTCATGGTGGCGTGTGGAGGAGCAAGCACGAGCTGGAAGATTTGCTGATGTGAATGATCGTAACAAAACATATGCAAGCAACACAGCTTCACGGAGACACCCGTGAAGGTACTTGAAGATTTTCCAAGTCTCTAGTGTTTTTTTTTCTTCACTTTCGCAACTACGCATTTTTTTTCGCGCTCACTAACTACATCGCGTTTTTTTTGGTGTACGTGTGCCTGATCACGTCAAATTTGACACCGCATCCACTAGACGTTTTTTTGCCGTATCGAAGTCAACTAAGTATTTTTTGTGCACAATTTTGCCGGTATTTATCGGACAGTATACCGCCCATATGATCACGTCAAATTTGACACCACATCCACGAGACGATTTTTTGCCGTAACGAAGTCAACTAAGGGTTTTTTTCGCCGAAATTTGCAGGTATTTGTCGGACAGTATACCGCCCATACAGAGAGGTCTCAAGCTGTTGGGTAGAAGATTGATGTAAAGTGGCATCTGAGAAATGCCGCCAGTGTTAAGGAGGAGAAGGGGGGCACGGTGGTGTACGGGTCACATTCGGTTATGGTGTGCCGCAGATGGGCCGGAAAATCCAGTTGTCCAATCCACAGGCTCAGCTGGTAGTGCTGAATATTCTCGCTGCCCGCTATGCAGATTTTAAATAGTCTCTGGGCCTCGTCGGCGCTGCCGTACTGCACTGGCCTTGGGTCTTCAACTGCCGATTGGATGAGAATTGACCACCACATCCACTTTGGCACAGCGAGGTGAGCCAGGGAGTAATGGTCAAGAGCCGGGGAGCAGTGATCAAGAACAAACTGAAAAGTGTCACGCGGTGCGAGTTCCACCTCTTCTTGGTCCTCCCATGTGAATCGGGACGTTCGGCCGCAGGCCGCAACGCTCAGTATGGTAGAACCGTCTGCAACGCCTATTGGGTCTTTGGGGAGATGCTTCAACATGAGGCTGATAGACTCCAGGGATGGAGAATCAGGCCGCGCACCACTTTCCGGGACATCCATTAGTTGCGGAAAATGTTTCGCGCGTATAACGTACCGGATATGACGAATGACAGCAAGGGACACCGAGGCGCGTATCAGCCGTCCCAAGGCGATGTCATCGGCCAAATTACCGGACTCAGCAGCGATGAGATGTGGGGCGGTGGCGGCCCACTGCTGCCTGAGAACTGGAAGTAGCAGGTCGACATCCAACAGGGGAGCATCCTCCACACCCAATGCCTCCAGAAGGACAATTCTGGCGGAGGTATCCCAGGTGGAGCGGTCGAGCCAGGACAGTGCAGTTGAAGTTCCTGTCCGTAGTTGTTTCGTGCTCTCAACATATGCGCGCTCACGAGAGGCGAGTAATCTGCCCCCAGGCCCAGAGAAGGCAAAAAGCGGGAATAAGAGTCTGGATAGTGGAGTCCGATACGGACATTGGATTATGTATAGAGGGAGGAAGGTGGCGGAGGCGTACACGAGCCAGAAGAACACAATGATTCCGGTAATGATCTGACCGATCAATGGGCTGAGGGGGAACAGGAACCACTGGAGACCAAGCATGAACGAAAGGAAAGATGCGCTCAGAATCAGAGGGAGAAAGGCAATTATGACGTGCACACCCCACTTTTGGAAAGAGGTGTAGCGGAATTGGCGGGTCAAAGCGCGCGTACGAGCACAACCGCTAATGGAGGAGGAGTATTGGCGGAGCCACTCTTTTGTTACCATGGCGAGGAAGGCAGTAACCAAGCTGAGTGCAAGACTTGTGAACCAGAGGACATTGACCATAACGTCAGTCTGGTTTGGAGTGAACGACACGTCGGCAGGGGCGATGGAGTCCAAGGGAGTGCGGTTGGCCTGAGCGCGTTCGAGGGCGATAAGCTCACCAAGGAGGGAATTCGTTATGTCCGTTTTATTTTCCGAAAGGGCTTGCGATGACTGCGCCGCGAAGGTGGCGACCACACCAGAAAAGAGGCCAGCCTTGTCAGTCCAGCGTCAGCAAGGCAGTTTGTGGCAAAAGGCAACGCACAAAGACCAGAAGAATATCCAAGCTGCCGTCCAACTCGGAGATCATCTCGCGGTCAAGACCGGCACTCTCATCGTTATAGACCAGCCAGACGCGGGAATCAGGGTCCAGTTCCCTGCAAGGCAGGTCTGCAGCATATTTATCCCGGTAGCCGCTCGCTAATCCACATGAGCTATCGTGTTCCGGTCGCAGATTACGGAGCAGCTTACCTGTGGCTCCGATGCGGGACGCGTCCCGTTCTCCTACTCTCACACCGAATCGCGTCCGCGGAAGGGGATTACGGAATCTTGTGGCACCACCAATGTCTGCCGGGTTCCCGGTGCTGCCGTGTCTCGTGGCTGAGATCTGCACTGCTGGATCTTGGACTGCACTGAGCGGTGGCCGAGACGCCCGACCTGCTGGGTCCAGGTCTGCGCCAGGCGACACCGGCGACGACATGGCGTCCGTGGATATGCTCTCTCCCTGGGGCTTCCCTTCTACATGCAGGGATGTGGCCTCGCTGCTTCTCGGGGACTGGCTCGAGTGCGAGGGCTGGACGGCTGGATCTCGGACTGCGCCAGGCGACGGAGACGAGGACAGGAGGTTCATGGGGACGCCATCCCCCTGCGGCGCCCCCTCAACACTCCGGGATGTTTCTCGGCTGCGCCTTGGAGCCTGGGTGGGGTGCAGCGACATAGGAGGTGAGTGGGAGCAGAAGCCAAGAGGGTGGGAGGAACATGCTGCCATATAACGGCAGGGAAGCCAAACACGCCACTGTCAAGGCTGAGCTTCGCGTGGTGTTTTAGCGGCGCCGGCGGAAGGATGGGCGGATAATTCTAATTGGCAACCCCCTTGCAAAAATCAACCCGGTTGCCAAATAGCTGATTCATATTTGGCAATCCCATGTGAGAGATAAGATAACAGTCCTGAAGCCGTTCTTGGACTGTTTCCCGCCACATTTCAGGTCTTAAAAAGCGGTTTCTAGGGCGGCAAAGTTCCCAGGTAGTCTTCTCATACTTCAATATTTTTCCTCCATTTTTTTGTTAGCTTTTTGACGCTTTTCAGTCAATTTTTCGCCCCAACATTGACTTTTAAACCTCAAAGCGTCAGATGATGGCGTATAAAGAAAAGTAAAGACGAGAATTATTTATTTTATGACTCTAGAATGATTTTTAGAAACTCTTGTCTTTATATATATAATCCCCCAAAGGGGGGTCCCCGTTTGGTCAAGGTCGGCCAAGCCTAGGGACACCCCCTGGAGCACGTCCGGAAAAATCAGGAGATCATCTTTGATTGTCGCCCGACACCATTTGGCTTTGTGTTGGGCCCACTACGGCCAAACCCGCCCAAAAGCCCGTTATAGCCCGGGGAGGGTCCCTTATATGGCCGAAAATCCCGGGGACACCCCCGTAGGAAAATCGGGGGGTCGGTTCGGATCAGTTTCTTCCTTTGGACCTAGCGATTTGATCAAGGATCCGCGGAGCAGTGGGGCTTTCTTTTTATTCAGGATATGGTGCAGCGCCATCATAGGTTGCCATCGGCACTTGATATTCATGGCAGTTGAGCACAGCCCCCCACAGCCGCCAGTGGCTGGATCAGCCACGGAACATGAATATCAGGCTCCGACAGCAATCTACTGGAGTACGAGCACGAATGATATGATTCAGCTCAGGCGGAGGTTTTCCTGCCTGCGGTGTCAGACCGTTCTCTGCCGTATAGGTCCGGATTTGGCTCGACTCTTACCACCGGGGTTCTTTTTTGTTCCTATATGCGCTGCTAAAGCCGCCGGTCTACAAAGGATGTGCGACTTTTTGGACGGGTTTAGCCATGTCCTATTCAATTTGTGTGCAATATATCCA